TCTCTCTCGCTCTCTCTCTCTATCTCTCTCCACCCTGTTGTGGTGCACTGCAGTATTCTGAGAGGAGTGTGTCTGAGGAGTTGTGTGCTCTGCATTTCTGATTTGTATGAATCTGCCTGATGTCTGTGTTGATGTATGACGTGACCTTTGCATATACAGCGGGGCCCAACAGTCTGAGACTACAGGAGAAAATATAATGTGTCATGTCACTGCGAATTACATTATCAGCATAACAATGTGAGTGAAACGTTTCATTAAAAAAATTAAAAATGAATAAACTTGAGAATGAATTAGTGTTTGGTATTTCAGTGTTGCTTTAATGACAGCAGTGCTCAAGCTGACATTATTCTACTTTCTTCTTCTTTTGTTGTAATTTCAAAATTCTATGACAGTTAATTTGTGTTTAAATAATGATAATAATAACTTTAATGTGAATTTTTGCATGCATAATATTACACCATGCTGTGTTGTTGTTACAGTGAACATGCTCTTAGTTGCATTTAACCCTGTAAAGCCTGACATATTAAATAACAGACCAAAAAAAAAAAAATCATAAAAAAAATGGAAGAGTTTATTAAATGTTTAGGAGAAAAAAAAAGGCTCATATAGTAAGATATAGTGAGTCTGTGGAGCTCATTACATAATTACACTTGATCAGGATCCCTCGGCGTCTCCGTTGCTTTCAGTTCATGCGTAAGATAATGATGCAATTCTTTCCATATGTAAAAGTATACATTTTATATAAAAAAATGACATCTAACCCCACTTCTACCCTAAACCTACCCACTTCTCAACAACATAAAACACTTGTATTGCACAAATATTTATTTACAGGTATTTATTAATACTCCATATGTAATTTCATCATGGCGATATTCCCATGCATCCATGTATGATGCCGAAGTGTTAGAAAGGGATTCTGACCAAGCATCAATATGTGACGAGTTGGGGGTGAGAATGCGTTTAAAAAAACAGCTCAGTTTTATTCAGAGGCCCAAACTGTGCGAAAATATGCAATGATATTTATATGGACAAAAGGTAAGATGCAATTCTGATAGCTTGTGTAAATCATATTTAATAACAGTATAATAGATCGCTAACATAAAATGCATATAAAGATCAGTTGTCACTCTGTATCTCCCAATAAGATGTCTTAGGCCTTTTATAATAATAATAAATTGTTACAGGAGGTGTCAACTTTGTCTTAGATGTTTCTTCTGAAATCCTTGAGAAAACAGACGAGGCCATTCTTGAAATACAGTAGCTATACAGTTAATGCGAATGCCATTGCTTGGGTATTTTGAAAGAATGCATTGAGAAATATTAGTTCAGTTATAATTCATATTAAAATGACTTGCAGGCTTTGGGATCTTGGCAAATCTGAGCACAGTTTGAGACATCTCTTGTTGAGCTCTCTACATAGATCAGTGTCACATGATCTTCAGAAATCAGTATAATATGCTGCTCGACAAACATTCCTTTTTTCAAAAGAACAGCATTTATTTAATCTTTTGCAAGATTACAAATGTTTCACTGTCACATTTGATCAATTTAATATATCCTTGCTGGATACAATTATTGACTTATTTGCAAACAAACAAACAAAAAAGCATACTCAACTTTTGACTGGTAATGCATAGTCCTTCTCTGTCATTACAATGAGGTTGACGTCTCAATAGTTTGTGTGAGGGTCAAGCTGAAATTTAAGTCATTAATCACTCAAAATCTTGACATCCGCCCTATCTTTCCTTGGCATGCTTATATGTGTGATTCGTGAGCTCTTTTCAATCAGTCGTAGCATTGAACAGCCCACTGGAAGGTACATTTCCGTCTGTTTTTCACACATGCTATTCAGCTTTATAAAACGTTGAACACAGAGCATGAGCTTTATAGAATATATGCATGATTTACAAGATGCTGCTTTTGTGTCTGTTAATAGCTTTAACCCTCAGTTGCACATTTAGGTCCGTTTTGACCCAGAAGAGTTACACAAACATTTCTAAAAACTGCAAAGATTATACGATTACATGTTAAGAGATATAACCACTTTTAAGAAATTTTAAAACGTTTCAAATGTTTTGTGTTCGGGTAGACATGAATTCTGTAAAAATAAATAAATAAAAAGGAAATAAATAGCATTTTCCCTATTTCCCCATCTTTTGTGAATTAATTTTGTTGATAAACCTGAGTACGTTTTTTCATCTGAAAGTGAAAGTTTATGCATGTACAATTAATTTATTTTTGTTTGAAAACTTTTATGAGTAATATCTATGTTGTTTTGTTAGAAACGAATATGTAAGTTTCATTAATTTGGACGGCTTTTTAACAATCATGGATTACATAATAAAGTCAAATTAATTGAATACATTCAAATTTATACAATAATATATTCAAATAAGTTTTACACACACATATATATATATATATATGGTTCATGTTTAATTGTACATTTTGAAGAATTTCAAATTTTTGAATCAAAAGGGGTAAATACAGTAATAACCTGGTAACAATATGATAACATAAAACAAATTCACATTCACTCATTAATGAAAAGTTGGTGATCAGATACAATATAATTTTAGTTGAAAAATATTAAGTTATGACTGTCAGCGAATCTTCAGGACCAAACGGTCCTGGAATGTGAAAATCGTATATAGATTTTGAAAGCATTATGTGAGTTAAAAGCCTCAAACACAGACTAGTTGCATGGAAAAGAGCAATTGGAGGATGAGTAAATTATAACAGAATTTAAATTATACATATTACTAAAATATATTGCAAAAATAATACTGCAGGTTTCTGTAAGAGTTAGGTTTAGGGGCTAGAAAATATCACAGAAAGTCCCCACCATCATAGCGTGTGTGTGTGTGTGTGTGTGTGTGTGTGTGTGTGTGTGTGTGTGT